GGTGGGAAAGATGAGTATTTCCGTTGGGATCAGACAGGGCAGGAGAGAATTACCCCACCAGTGAGGACTTGTAGCCTGAGCCCTATTTTAGGGACTTTGGCTGGAGTTGCCCCATGAAAGGGCTTTTGAATTTGTGAGCTGCTCTTCTTCAGTTTTCCAACCTCCTGGGAACTACCCAACTGCTTCTCCCACCTGGTGCAGGTTATACTGGACAATAAAACCAGTTCTTTCTCCAAATAGAGCCTTTTCTTGTGAACAGTGTAGGAAAGAGATGTCCCATTGAAGACTCCACTTCATATGTCCCATATGTTACTTGGTGTCTGCACATCTTCTCAACCCTGGCATGGCCACCATGGGTGACTCTTCCACCATCTCCACCTGGCCAGCCCTCAGGAGCATCCGTGGCATCAGTGATGGCCCAACCATCAATGGTGACCCATTTGCTCACTTCCAGGACTCTACCTTCTTCTCCAACCACCCAGTTTTCCTTCAGTGAAGGGTTTTTAATTCAGTGAATTACTTTTTCTTGCCTGAAGTAGTGGGCTGTGTTTAAATGAAACACATTCAAGGCAAACTCGCAGAGAAGTCTCACCTTTCTCCGTGCCACATGATTGAATAGGGGGGCAAAGATGCAACCCCCTTATTAGAGTAATATAATTTTCCATCTCAAATAGGAACCAGGGATGTTTTAATGATTGGGCTCATTAGATGGACTTTCCACTTAAAGTGTCTGTCTGGCAATTAAGTCTGGGAAAAGCATGACTGATGACCACACCTTCTGTGACTTAATGGGGAGTCTGAAGGCTGATCTTATTATCACACTGATACAGTCTGTGATAAAAAAGAATTTAAGATACTCTCCAGAGATTTATTTGCCCATTAGGAAACTGCCAGGAGAAGGTTAAGGGAACTCATAAGGTCAAAGCTGAACAGAGAAAAGTACTAAACACTTGGGATCCAGGTGGGCAGAAACAGGAGGACATGATTTCCACTCTTGGCTCCTCTACTGACCTGTTACAAGGCCTTCACCAAGGCACTTACTTCTTGTGTTTTTTCTGATGTGGCTGGTGATCACCGTGTTGGGCACCGTGGTAGTCCTGTAGATGCTTCACGTGACAGCACCGTGGCCTTGCCTCAGTGGCTCAATTCCCTGCTGCCATCCGCTGCTGGAGGAGCACATGGAAAAAATTGCGTGGGGCGGAAGGAAGCACATGCAGTCAGCAGGAAAGTCATGGTGATAAGGGCAGCGAGATGGAAAAGGCTACGGCAGAGTTTCTGTTCTCCTCCAAGAGGATCCTCATGGGTCCTCGGTGATTCCCTCACCTATTCTTGCCCACTTTAAAACATGACCTGCTGTAATATTTTACTTAAGCCTGGTGTTTAATGGACTGGAACTTATTGTAGAGTTCACTGTGCCGGCTTCAAACCTCCTGTTGGGTACCATTTTACTGCCATTAGCTTGCCATAGCTTGTCAGTGATTTTAACTCTGCTGATGGGTTGAATGCCCCAGGATAGAGGAGCCGGCTCTTTTGGCTTTGTACTTCACTTTAGCTTCCTTAAGTACAGTGGGAAGAGATAATTCAGCTAAACATGCTTTAGTACTGAATTTTTGGTGACAAAAGAACTACTGTGCATCTGGGTCAGTTTTGCCAGATTAATGGAGGAATTGTGAAAAAGGGAAGTGTTTCATTTCAGCATCTGCAGAGTGGAAGTCCTGACTTTCAGAGGCAGCGTGATTTTTTTAACTCAACATTTGCTGTGTTTTTGATTAAACAGACACCCAGAATTTGGGAAAACATTTTGTTTCGGGCTGAACAGGTAATTTTTTTAACGTTTTTCAGTTCCAGAAAGGAGAAGTCCTGCTCATTCCCACCCTTCTTCTCCTGAAAAGCATCCTCTGTTCACTTTGTATCCTTTGCAAGGGGGTCGTGCAGACTCGAGCCCTGTCTGGTCCATTAGGAAAACAGAGTCCCAGATATCTCTCATCGTCCCTCCACTTTATCTTCCCTTTGTGCCAAATAGAGTGTTGGAAGGCAAAAAAAAAAATCAAAAATCCACTGTATACTACTTAGATTTGTGTGGAAACTAAATAATTGAATATGAAGGCATTTGCTTTATGTCTTTAAGGAATCCTTTTGAAGTTGACTCTTCTGACCTTCGAGGCCCCGCATAATTTTTTCTTCTCCGTTTTTTCCTCCTCTTTGTTGTTCCTTGCACTCCTGTAATCTTCTCTCCTGCCTGCTTCCTTCACCTCCTCCCACCCTGCTCCGTGATCCCACTTATCTGCACCCCGTGTTTGAAGCGCTCGGTGGCTGGTGCAACCGGCATCCTCCTCTTCCCCCACCAAGCCTCCCTCCCGCTCCCCTCTGCGAGGAGCCTCTCCTGCCCACCTTGTTTTCTCCAGATGGTGTTTTACCTGGGCTCTCTCGACCCCCCTGAATTGCTCTTTTCATCTCGTTCCCATTGGGAAGTGTTAAATTAGGGGACCTGCCTTAATGTTCTGGCTGGCCAAGTGCAATACGTCCACCCACAGCTTTCAGCAGGGGATGGGCTCTCTTCCCTCTCTCCGGACACAAGCAGGTCTCCACCCTCCCGTGCTAATAGTCTTATAACTGTGTGAGCTTCCTGAGCTGAATCCACATTGTGTCCAGCCCCTCTGTTGGCCCCATGGTCTCCCCATGGGTGGTTGTTGGGATTGTGTGTTCCCACACTCTCCAACACGCAGTGGGGTCCCATCACCAGAGTTTGGAGTAATTCAATTGAAGGGGTTTCAGCCAGTGAAAAAAAGATCATTTAACTAGTATATAAAAATTGCTACAGAGCTTAAATTTTACCAATGCAGGGAATGGTTTTCTTTGTTTTGACAGGAGTTGTAGCTTTGCTGGGGTGTATAGGAGGACTCAGCTGACTTATCACAGTATGGTTTGGAAGAGACCTTTAAATCTCATCCAGTCCAACCCCCTGCCATGGGCAGGGACAGCTTCCACTAGACTAGGTTGCTTATAGTCCTATCCAACCTGGCCTTGGACACTTCCAGGGATCCAGGGGCAGCCACAGCTTCTCTGGGCAACCTGTGCCAGGCCCTCACCACCCTCAGTGTAAAGAATTTCTTCCTCCTTTCTGGCTTCAGTGGGACAAGCAGTCTTCTTTCTAAAGAGCAAATATAGCTCTGAATAAAGGATGTGTACACATGCACACACATATTTAATGGAGATATTTAGGCATGGGAGTGCTGGCATTGGAGAGGAAACCAAACCCTTACCCTGCATTTATCTGGGCAAGGTTTTCCTGCTTATTCACCTGGAGGGAGGAATACGGATTTGCTCCTGGTGGAGGTAAATATTCAGAGTGATTTGACAAGGACTCAAATTCCTCCTGCAGCAAATGTGTGAGCTGAGAAAGGGCAGCAGTGGTTGGTTTCATGAAGAACTGCTCTCCTTGCTCTCCAGGGTACAGAGTTCATTTTTCCACTGACGCATCCCTGACAAACACCCAATGGGGGCTGGCATGGGCAGCCAAGTGATTGTGTTGTCACAGTAAAGACCAGTGAAAGGACAGCAAGATTTATATTGTGGCTGCTCAGATGGCTGGAGAAAAATGGCCCAAAGCCAGGAGTCATGCAGGCATGGCTGATACTGTCTTCAGTCTTTTGCCAAGTGTGGGCTGGTTGGTGGCTTATGTGAAATGGGCTGCATAGTCCTGGTCCAAGTCTTGGTGGGCATGATTCCACATCACAGAAACCAACCACGCAGTTGACACTTTCACTGACAGTCTTAGCACAAAGATGAGTTGCTGAATTGGCCCTGAAGTTGGAAAAAAATTAAAAATCGAAAGAATTTTGCAGGAGGAGAAGCACAACCTTCTACCGGGGGAGCAGATGACCCCAGAAACCCCAGCACACACAGACACGACTGTAGTGATGGGTTTAATTTACTCAAAAGCAATGAGGGTAAGGCTCTAGGTTGCTCTCTGGAGACATGGCCTCTACCTCAGGTAGAGGTCCCCTGCATACCTGTGGTTGTATTATTTCATCTCCTCTGTGCCTTGGCTACATATCTGCACAACCAGAGCATGGATTCAGGGAATGGTTTTGGTGGCAGGGACCTTTGAAAACTCCTGATTCAAGTTCCCGCTCTTGGACAGGCTCATGCCTTTGTGTGGTTGAGTTTTGAGTATCTCCAAGGACACAGATCCCAACATCTCTCTGGCTTCATGGTTCAAGGCATGACCAGCCTCTTATGGAAAATGTTCTTCTTGCATCTGATCTAAACCTGCTTTGCTGTAACTTCTGTCCATGGCTTCTTGTGTGCTGAGAAGAGTCTGACTCCCTTCTTCTCTATAATTAATCAATAGGTAGTTAGATGAAAAAGTGACATTCCCCCTTCACATCCTCATCTCTGGGCTGAACAAACCTCTCTTCTCACTTCATGTGCTCCAGCTCCCTCATCCCCTCTGTGTGCCTCCACAGTGACAATGTCTGCCTGGAGACCCCAAGTTAGACACAGTGCTCCATCTGTGGTCTCACGAGTGATGAATAGAGCAGAGAGATCACTCCCCTTGACCTCTGGGCATCACTTTTGTTAATTGTACTGAGTGTGTGTTTGGCCATCTTCACTGCAAGGCCATGCCACTGACTCTTGGCTACCTTCTTGGCCACCAGGACCACCAGGCCTTTGCCTACAAGGTGGCTCTTTAGGCAAACACAGGTGGTTCTTGCTTCCTCCTGAGGTGGGAGGGGTGGGAAGTGCCAGGGTCTTGTCAGAGCACAAAGGGTGAGGAGCAGATTGTCCCTGAAAATGCAAGGCCTGGAGGATCAGGTGGAGCAAGAGCTTGGCCAAGTCACATTCCCATCTACATCAAGAACCAACGAAGGCTCAACCTTCTTCTTTGAAAGAGTGAAGCCTGCTAACCAGCGAGAGGTGAGGTGGCTGTAGGAGCTGGAAAGTGCTATAGGGACTGAGGGATACACTGAAACACTTCTTTTTTGTCTCAGGCTTGTTCAGAGAGGTGCAGCTTGTGTAGCCACCATGGTTGCTGATTCAGTACCTGCCCTGTGAGTATAACAGGAAGATTTCTGTCTCCACTGCTGCCCATCCATCAAGCCTAGGAGCAAAAGGAAGAATAAAAGGAATAACAAGAAAATAATGAAACATTGCAGCCAGAAAGCTATCCTCTGTGTTTCACAAACCTATAAATTATACCCTTCCCTTCCTCTTTAATCGCCAGGCATATAAAATATGCTTGCAGCAGAATCATATCCCTCCATTAAAGTTTCAGAAGAGAAATACAAGTCCCATCTGCCTGTTTAGCAAAGCAGGGCAGTGCATGACCGTTTCTTTTTTTTTTTTTTCTCCTCTCAAAATCTGCTTTATGGCAGGAGTTTTCTCTTTTAGGACTGGCTGTTTATTTTGTTTTCTCATTTCAGTGTGTGTTTTCACAAGCAACCTCCTCTTTGTTATCTCATAGGTTTTTATCCAATGTCTTCACACTCAAATGCACCTAAAAAGCAGAGATGCAACCTGCCCTTGGTGAAGGTCAAAGGATAAAGAAGGTCATTTAGGACTTGAGCAGGCCTGCTGTGGGTGGGTTTCTGCTCTGCAGACAGGACAGTCACTGTCTGAAGAGCAGCAGTTTGCAATAAAGAGAAATTACTAAACTGGATTTTGGAGGCACCCATATGCTTCACTGCCACCTATCCCTGCTTACTCCCAAGGATATTCATATTTATTTGTGTTGTTCTGGAGTCAGGATGGGCATGAGATCTTAGGGATGGGTTGTCTGCAGGGTGGAGGAGTGAGCATGGCATTGTCCCTTTTCATACATCAACTGTCCCTGTGATCCACCAGTGGAAAGGGCAGGGAGAGGAGGCTGCTTCTGGGTGCATAGCCCCTCCATGTGCAGGGTGGGATGGCAGGGGGTTTGTGTACATCCAGGGGGATCTGTAGGTGTCTGGTTGTGCACATGAACAGGGCAGGCTTACAGTTTTGAAAAGGTGTGATTGATGAGAGGGCACCAAAGCTCCACTTCTAATTCAAGCCACGGAGTCTTCATAGGATCGTGGAATGGTTCGGGCTGGAAGGGGGCTTTAAATCGAGTCCAGTCCCCCACCACAGGCAGGGACACCTTCCACTATCCCAGACTGCTCCAAACCCCCTCTAACCTGGCCTTGGACACTTTCAGGGATCCAGAGGCAGCCACAGCTTGTCTGGGCAACCTGGGCCAGGGCCTCACAACCTTCAGCATAAGCAATTTCTTCATTCTATCTAAGTGGAATCCCCTGTCAATGGGAAGCAACTCTTGTCCTGTCACTCCATACCCTTGTCCAAAGTCCCTCTCTGACTTTCTTGGAGCCCCTTTAGGCACTGGAAGGGGCTCTAAGGTCTCCCTGGAGCCTTCTCTTCTCTTTTGAACACCCCCAGCTCTCCCAGCCTGTCTCCAGAGCAGAGGGGCTCCAGCCCTCTGATCATTTTTGTGGTATTCTCAATACCTGTTCTGTGGCTTATCACGGGTTACATGAGACACTTGCAAACTGACTTGAATGATTATTTATAGCACTGTGCCCTTAGAAATCTCTCCTATCCAGCAGAAGGACATGTCCCTCTTTTTTTACCATGAAGCCTCATTTTTATTCAGTGGCATTCAGAGCTGAGCGAATCTAGAGGACTGGGGCGATGCGTCTGATTTTTCCATGCCTGGAGATTTACACCCGCACTCCTGCTGCCATTAAAGATGCCCTGCTCCAAGTATAAATCAGACCACGCTCTATTAGATGCTTTATATGTTTCCAAGAAGTCATGTGCCATGGTAGGAAGGATCTGCTGCAAATTTTGCACTGGTTTTTGGGGGCTGGGTGCTTCTGGTGGAATAAATCCGCAGGGGGATTTATATTCCCTTTCCCTTATGGGTTCACCATAGAAGAGCCTTTTCTTTTTTTTTTTTTTTCTTACCACCTTGGGCAAGAAGCTGTTTGGTTTGATATAGGTTCAAATTTTATTTTTAAGCAAAATATGAGAAACACAGGAGGGGAAACCACACTCTGTTCCTTAAAATAAGTGGAAGAAAAGACAGGGCTAGAAAAATATTCTCTGCTGCACGCAGTTGATGAGCATGTACTTTGGCATAGGCAGCATCAAGGAGCTCTGAATGTCATTGGAATGTACCTTTGTGTCTAAAGGTGTTTTTTATAAGGGTCTGATTGAGCTCTTGGGCTTATGAAATCCTACAGCCCATCTCTATGTCTACAATGCCAACAGCTCACACTGAGCTCTGATTCTGCAATACCATTTGGAAGGGGGAGTGGAAACCAAACCCAACTTGAACCAAACCTCAGCCTTTCTGTACTTACAGGGAACTTACAAAAAAGATGGAAGACAACTTTTTACGCAGGCAGATAGTGATAGGATGAGGGGAAATGGCTTAAAACTGACAGAGGGCAGGGTTAGATTGGACATTGGGAAGAAATTCTTGGCTTGGAGGGTGGTAAGGGCCTGGCACAGGTTGCCCAGAGAAGCTGTGGCTGCCCCTGGATCCCTGGAAGTGTCCAAGGCCAGGTTGGACAGGGCTTGGAGCAACCTGGGATAGTGGAAGGTGTCCCTGCCCATGGCAGGGGGGTGGAACAAGTAAGCTTTATGGTTCCTCCAACCCAAACCATTCCAGGATTCTCATGACCTACCTGAGCAAACCTGTCTCTAAGGGCATAACTCAGGGAAAAGGGGAAAGGTTTGGGTATTTTGGCCATCTGTCTCCCCTCCTGTTATTCCTAGTCAGGTGATGCAGGTGTCTCTCCTGGCTTTTTTTTTTTTATTTATTTTTTTAATTCTTCATGCTTTGCATCCCCTGATTCAGTGCTCAACCTTCAGCAGCCATGGAGGAGGACTCCAAATCCCTGTTTTCACCACCAACAAAAGCTGGAGCCATTCAGCAACCACCTGGGCAGGGGGAGCAGCCCTGCTCGTGGCCACATCTGCGCTCTGCTCGCACACACGCCCACAGCACCATTACCTTATAATTAAATCTCTTTTTCCCCGACTGGAAGGATTCTGCTATAAACAAGGGTTTTCTCTAACCATAATTGCACTCGGTGGAGGGCAAAGCTCTGCAATAACTCGGGGCTTTGTTCTGTGTGCAGGGAGCGAGTCCCTCTGCCTCTCCTCAGGTATGCCAACAATGCGAGCGGAACTCCCCGCGACCTGACATGAATCTCAGGGCAGGGTTTGCAAATAGAGGCAGTGGTCAGAGCGGGGCTTAAGTGCATTTATAAATATTTTGAAGTACCGGCTTGGAAGAGGAAAGTCCCCGGCATGCTGCGGTGGTGGTGTTTCATCCAGAGCTGGTGTGTGGCTTTGAAGTGCGTTGTTGGCAAGCTGCTGGGGTCCTGCCCATGCCTAGGAAGGGCTGAATGATTAAAAAAAAAATATATATATATATATGTATAAACCCCTATGAAATGCAAGAGATTGCATTTACACCCCTTTTTGCCGTGTGTCTCCACGGACAAACGGGGAAGAGAAATTAATACGCTTCAAAGGGGTATTTTGTTCATGTGTTGCTCGTATGAAACAGCATAATTTGGATTAGAAAGGCCCAGAGGAGGGAGGCGAGGTGGGTGGATGGAGAGGTAGATGTTTCCAAGTGTCTGCTTTTGTTGTAGCTCCTTAATTGGTGAATTTTCCTCTCCTTGAGAGAGAAATAGCTGTAACGCATTTAACCAAAGGCTGGCGTGTTTGTGCTGTGGAAGGAAATGCAAAATGCAGGCAGGGAAATGGTGGGGAAAGTGGGGTGAAATGCTGATGTTTTCCCACCCAAGACAAAAAGTAGGTCCTAGGACAGTGTGAGTGATTCTGCATCTGCTGGTGCTCTTCAGGTCATTGTCCAAACACACACACACGCACAGAGCATCCCCCAGTCCTTCGAAGACTCAGGAGGTGGATCAAGCCCATTCCCTGGGAAGAGTATGGGGAGGCAGCCATGTGTTCTCTATGCACGTGCAATGCCCTTTCCCAACCCACAAATCCTTGGGGTTGCTGTTGTGTTAGATGTTTGCATTTTTTTTTTTTTTTTTTGGTATAAGAGCAAAAACACCTGTAGGTGTTTTTGGATATCAGTGGATGTCATTGAGCAGTTTGGGTTGGAGGGACCTTAAAGATGATCTGATTCCAAGCCTCCTGCCATGGGCAAGGACACCTTCCACTAGACCAGACTGCTCCAAGCCCCATCCAACCTGGCCTTGGACACTTCCAGGGATCCAGGGGCAGCCACAGCTTCTCTGGGCAACCTGTGCCAGGCCCTCACCATCCTCCCAGCCAAGAACTTCTTCCAAATATTCAAATTTACCCTGCCCTCTATCAATGTGAAGCCATTCCCCCCTGTCCTGTCACTCCAGACTCTTGTCCCAAGTCCCTTTCCAGCTCTCCTGGAGCTCCTTTAGGCACTGGAAGGGGCTCTAAGGTCTCCCTGGAACCTTCTCTTCTCCAGGCTGAACAACCCTCTCTCTCTCAGCCTGGCTCCATTTGCCACACTGCACTGCCAGGTTGGTCTGTAACATCCTGTAGGTTTGTCAGGAAGTTGTAGCATTTTAACTAGACTGGTCTAGTTATACTTGTACCACTTTCCCCTAAGCAGATGCAATCAGAGCTGTACAGATGTTGCCTTATGCATCCAGCTCTGCCAGGGGGAGATGATGCCTCTCCCCTGGAGGTTGCTGCCTCTGTGACTGTGCTGCTGGAACCATACTACAGGAGCACCAGCCGAGTTCCCTTCACCCAGCTGCCCACTGCAGTTGGAAGAAATCTGATTGCTGCTTTTTCCCAGTGGAAATTGGGGATTTTCGTGGCAACCTCGAAGGCTGGCTGAGCTGTGTGGAGCAGTTGCCTCTGGCCTGGTAGTGGATGAGAAGCTGGGGTTCCTTTGACTCTAGCACGTCTTGGATCAGGAAAGAGCATCTGTCCTCAGACTTGAAGTGCTGTTTAGGGGCATATATGTGAAAGGGAATCAGCCACCTTGACATAAGATGCTTTTGCAGTGGTGTAGCTGTCTCTGTTCTAGCTCTTGGGCCCACACAGGTCTTCCTGTAAGTTACAAACCAGCTGTGCTTCCCCATCCCATCCCTAGAAATGTTCAAGGCCAGGTTGGATGGGGCTTGGAGCAACCTGATTTAGTGGAAGGTGTCCCTGCTTGTGGTAGGGGCGGAACTGGATGAGCTTTTAGGTCCCTTCCAACCCAGAGCATTCTGGGATTCTATGATTGTCATGGTAGTTCCAGCACAGAACCTCAGTGGAATTCAGAACACTCTGCAATTCTGTCCTGCAGACCAGTGCAACATCCTCATCCTCTTCGCGCTGGTGCAAGTCCAGAATAGCATCAGTTAAATCCCTGAAGTCAATCCAGAATTACACCAGGATAAATAAAAATACGTTTTGCCCAGCAAAGCCCAAAAAAAGCGTAAAATCCATCTGTTCAGTTCCAGCAAGGCCAAGTTCAGGCTGTAGCCAGTGCCCTGTAATTCAGAGACTCCTTTGGACGTCCCCTTTGAGTTCAGGCATGTGAGCAGTTTCCCTCTTCCCTTAAAAATATTTCCTTGTAAAGCCTTTGTGAACTTGTGCATGCGTTGATGTTATGGTTATCACACATGTAATTTCATCTGACATTGTAATGACAGCATGGGGAGTTCAAAATGTAACAGTAAATATAGTTGTTAGGGGAAAAAAACTTACCAGCATCCTAGCCCATCATCCTGAATGCCTCTTCACGTCATGGGAGGGATGCAGACAGACTCCAAACACCATCAGCATTTCTGGGTTCCAGTTGGAAGCTGTCTGGAGTTCAGGATAGGCCAACACAAACAGGAGAGACTCGCTCTCTCTGCATGGCAGGGCTGCATTTTTTCCTCCTTTTCCCTATTTCTTTTTTTTTTTTTTTTTTTTGGAAGGGTCATCCCTCTAAATAGAGGACAAACTGGGGGTTCTCCCTGCTTGCTTGGGCTGTTTCTGTAGCCTGAGGCGTGATGCCCCCCATATCCTGCACTCATCCTGGGCCGAGAGCTGAGTCCTGACTCGACCCCTGGTTATTTTTGAGTGCTGTTGGTTTGAGATGCTGTATGGAAGGGTCATTTGCCAATTCCATTATAAGCCTCATTTACAGCTCAGCTGGTTTAAATCAGATCAGACTGTGAGTTGGCATGTGCATGGAGTCAGCTGGGACGTAGGGCTTGCTTTGCTGGGGGACCTGCTCCCTCAGACCCCCTGGTTGCCTGCAGAAGCATTGGTTGAAAAGTTAATCCTATTGATTTTCCATATTATTCTTTTTTCCGTGTGTTTGAGCTGAAACATTTAAGCAGTAGATATTTTTCTTTTTCTTCTTCCAGGGAGAGTTCAATTTTATTTTTTTTTTCTGTTGGTTCTCCACCAGCTTTGACTATATTTACCAAGCTGGGCATGGGTGGGCCCCACCGGATCGCATGGATTGCTCAGGCGGGTGAGGCTTTGCAGGATCAGGGCTGAGCTGAGGACTCAGCTGCTGTTTAGCTTATGAGCAGGTTGGCAGAGAAACCAGGGACTTCTCACACAGAAGGAGCTGAGGCACAAATGAAATCTGAATCTGACCCCTGATCTTCAGTTAAATTGCTCTGCAACCTTGAGAGCTGGATTAAATCATCCCCAGAAGACAGGGAGTTGCCTCTGGATATTCAGTGCTTGGGCCACACTATAAGGTTATGCTCATATATTACCTGTGGTCTTCAGAGAGCTCATTAGCTGGTTGGTTTGCATATAAAAAATCTGGATGAAACTCTCATCCCCCTTCCCTGACCATCCTGTGCTGAAACCTGGCAGTAATTCCACGAGGAAGGCCCAGCTCAAGGGTTGGAGACGTGATGGCATCTCGCTGGGGTTTCATCATGGTCAGGACATATGATTCAGAGAAATGTTGGTTTGCAGAAAAAATGGTCATGAAATCACAGAATCATCAAATAGTCTGGGTTGGAAGTGACTTTTGAAGGTCATCTCATTCCAACACCCTGCCGTGGGCAGGGACACCTTTCACCTTCCAGGGCTCAGGGCCCCATCCAACCTGACCTTAAATGTTTCCAGGGATGCGGCATCCACCACCTGTATGGGCAACTTGTGGCAGTGTCTCACAACCTTTATCACGAAAAAATTTCTTCCTTCTTTTTAGTCTGATGTAGTTCAAAGCCACTACCCCTTGCTTCCAGGGATGGAGCATCCGTGAAAGTCCCCCTCAGCACAGCAAAGGGTGGGGAGACACAATATTCACCCATTCTGCCTAACTCCCCTCTTCTATGGGGCACGGGCTGTAGGTCACTTGGAGGAGACACTCTCAGGTAAAATCTGGGTGGATTTGGTCTCTTCTGTGCAGCAGGGTCTTGAATTTTCATCCTGTGTTGGGTTTGACTGCTGCAGCATGGGCCAAAGCCCAGGACTAGCCTTCTGCCCGTGGTACAGATAGTGGGGTGGTGGTGCTGGAAGGGCCGTGTCTTTGCAGGCTAGGTTTGCAGGATTAGATGCTCTGCAGAGGCACCATCCATGAACATGTCTATCCAAAAGCCACCTCCTGTCTGTGTTGGAGCTGTTCTGGCCCAGGCGTAGCACGGGGTCTCGTGTGCTTAGACCTCCAGGACTGAAATGGCAATTACAAATCAATGAGGCTGCAAAGGCTCTCACGAGAGTCAAGCAGGAATATAATATTTTGGGTTATGCCAGAGTTAAATAGACCAATCTGAGGTACCTCTCTCCTAAATACCTGTGGGATTATGAGCCTAATGAATGGCAACACAGTGTCAGCAGCACAGGGCACGGTGGGAACTGAAAGGTGAGGCTGAGATTGTGTTATGGGGCTTGGCCCAGAGCAAGCTGTGCTTTGGAGAGGTACTAGCTCCTGAGGTGGCCTTGTGAGAGGTAGGACAAAGCTGGTGTGAGCCTGGAGATGCCTCATGTCTTGGCCAATGCATGGGGATGGTTGGGGGCTCCTCCTGGATGGATGATACTGGGAGATATAATGGGGACCAGCAAGAAACCCGCCCTAACAGGGATGTGTGCCACTGAGGATGCTCTGAGACGCTGTGGGGAAGGCTGGGGAGGGTCTGGAGGAGCAGTCCTGCCCAGGCAGGGGATGGAGCGCAGCTGCTGCCAATGCCACCACCGAGCTGAGCCTCCCACCCCACCACTCCTGGAGCCTGCCTGTACCTGCTCCCAAGCCGATATTAAGCCTGCTCAAACACTGCACCGCCTTCTCCTCACATTGTTTTCTGTACCCCACACCCAGCACCAAAATAGCGATAACCCCCCCTTCCCCACCCTCCCGCGGTGACTCAGGCTGGCGAGCAGGCACACATCTGCTTCTCATTTAATGTGCGAGCGCTCTGACCCTTTTATTTCTATTCCCAAAGTCCTCCCGCCGGTGGCTTTCTCTCTGGGGGCGAGGGGAGAGGAGAGGAGAGGAGGGGGAGGCTGGATGCCCGTCCTTCGCTCTGTGCTTTTCTGGAGCCCTCCGAAAAAAAAAAAAAAAAAGTGTTTTATTTTGGAGCGGTGTTTTCGCGCAGGCTGGTGACAGCCTCACCCAGATCCGCATCCAAGTCCCTCGCAATCCCGTCCACTCCAGAAGGACGGCAGCCAAACCAGTTTTCCATGGTTAAGCTGGGCACATTTTTCCGCTGTGGTTGGTTGTGTTTTTTGGTTGGTTTTTGGTGGTTTTTTGTTGTTTTTTTTTTTGTGTGTGTGTGTCAGGAAGCGAACCCACCCAGTGTGTGCGCGCCGTTCAATAGGAGCCTTTTTTTAATTTCTTTTCCTTTTTCTGGCTCTGAAGAAGAACAGGACGGGAGTGAGGGAAGGGGCTGGCCTGTTCTCCCAGGGGAGCTCAGAATGGAAGGAAATGGCTTTTTTGGATATTTTTAGGGCCGTGCTGGAAGGAGGTACCCACCACTGATGTGCTCATTGGGTTGCAATGTCGTGTGTCCATAGGGATATATCATTCATATATATATATATATATAGTTATCCTGTATCACTCCCTACAGCAGGATCTGGGCATCTTGCACAAGGGAAAGGTGGTGGAGGAGAGCAGCTGCAAACACATGGGCAGAAAAGCCACCAGTGATGTCACATACCTCATGGCCCCTCATCCATCTCATGTCAGAGCTGCTGGAGGGACCAGCAACCTGATGCTCAGCCAGGCCAGCTCTCGTGTGGATATCTGGGGAAATCTGGGGGTTTTCCTCCTGCTCTCTTTTTTTTTTCCCTCCTTTTGGTGGCGTGGGAGGGGGATTGTGTCACTTGAAGTGAGAATGAGTTTGCATGAGAGTGGGGTGGTTGCAGAAGATGACTGGAAACTCATCTGTTTCATTTAACATATTCCCCCCTCCCATGCATTTTTGAAGTATATGTGTATGTGTGTGTGTGTGTGTGCATGTACATACATATGGAGGGGAAATATTCACCAGCAACATCATCTGGAGCATTGTCAGGAGAGCATCAAGGCTATGCAGAATCATGTAGACAGGGACCTCTGAGGGTTTCAAGGAAAAAAAAAATGATATTGAGCATCTCCAGCCTTGCAGCATCTTCTGAAACCTCAGCAGAGAGAAGGGAGATGGTGCCCAGAGCAACCCCTCAAGCTCCAGACCTCCAAGGAGCTGCTTGAATAGGGGTGGGGGATAAGGCTGAAAGAAAAGACTGTGGTCAGGTGTGACCATCCTATAAAGTCTCCTGTCTGGTACCTGCCTGCCTGTGGTTAATTAATTTGCCCCTGCTCTGTGCATAGATGAAGCCCTCAAAACACCATCTGGAGCCAGGCGGTGCCTTTGATGTAGCTCTGCTAATTGTTTACGTTTATTTGACCATTTATCACCAGGATCCCCCTTTGCCAAAACCTGCTCGGCGCATCAGATGGCACTTGTCATGCAGCATGCAGACTTCATCAAGCTGCCACCCAGAAGTGACCCAGAGCTGCTGGTTTTTGGAGCTTTATATAAACTCTGGAACTGGGAGGTGTGCTGGGTAATTTAAACGAGCCGGAAAGAGGAGACC